TTAAATTTATTCTAGAGTTCCAATAAGAGAAAAATGACTAGGGACTTCCTGGTGGTCCAGTGGTTAAGACTCTGTGCTCCCAATGCAGGGGGCACTGGTGCGATCTGTGGTCAGGAACTAAAATTCCACATACCACAGAACATGGCCCCCTAAAAAAAAGAATATTTTTTTAAAAAGGGATATCTTTTTTTGGTGTTAGTTCTAGAAGGTCTTGTAGTTCTTCCTGCTGCTGCTGCTGCTGCTGCTAAGTCGCTTCAGTCGTGTCCGACTCTGTGCGACCCCATAGACAGCAGCCCACTAGGCTCTGCCATCCCTGGGATTCTCCAGACAAGAACACCGGAGTGGGTTACCATTTCCTGCTCCAATGAAGGAAAGTGAAAAGTGAAAGTGAATTCTCTCAGTCGTGTCTGACTCTTCACGATCCCATGGACTGCAGCCTACCAGGCTCCTCTGTCCGTGGGATTCTCCAGGCAAGAGTACTGGAGTGGGGTACCATTGCCTTCTCCGTGTAACTCTTCCTAGAACCATTCAATTTCAGTTTCTTCTGCATTAGTGGTTGGGGCATAGACTTGGATTACTGTGACGTTGAATGGTTTGCCCTAGAAACAAACTGAGATCATTCTGTTATTTTTGAGATTGCACCCAGTACTGCATTTCAGATTCTGTTGTTGATTGTGAGGGCTATTCCATTTCTTCTAAGGGATCCTTGACCACAGTAGCAGATCTAATAGTCATCTGAATTAAATCCTCCCATTTCCGTGTTAGTTAACTGATTCCTAAAATATCAATGTTCACTCTTGCCATCTCCTACTTGACCATGTCCAATTTACCTTGATTCGTGGACCTAACATTCCAGGTTCCTGTACAATATTGTTCTTTACTGCATTGGACTTTACTTTCATGACCAGACATATCCACAACTGAGCTTCGTTTCTGCTTTTGCTCAACTCTCTTTCTGGAGCTATTTATCCCCTCTTCCCCAGTAGCATATTGGACACCTACCAACCTGGAGGGCTCATCGTCCAGTGTCATATCTTTTTGTCTTTTAATAGTGTTCATGGGGTTCTCGAGGAAAGAATACTGGAGTGGTTTGTCATTCCTGTGTCCTTTTCATCATAGGTTATTGGAATGCAAAAGTAGGAAGTCAAGAGATATTTGGAGGGACTTCCCTAGTGGTCCAGGGGCTGGGACTCCATGCACCCAATGCAGGGGGCCCAGGTTTGATCCCTGGTCAGGGAACTAGATCCCATATGCTACAAGTAAGACCCAGTGCAGCCAAATAAAATAAATGTTTGTGTTTTTTTTTTTTAAAGAGAGAGATACCTGGAGTAACAGGTAAACTTGACCTGGGAGTACAAAATGAAGTGGGGCAAAAGCTAACAGAGTTTTGTCAAGAGAACACACTGGTCATAGCAAACACCCTCTTCCAACAACACAAGAGATGACTCTACACAGGATCATCACCAGATGGTCAGACTGAAATCAGATTGATTATATTCTTTGCAGTTGAAGATAGAGCAGCTCTATACAGTCAGGAGAAGGCAATGGCACCCCACTCCAGTACTCTTGCCTGGAAAATCCCATGGACGGAGGAGCCTGGTGGGCTGCAGTCCACGAGGTCACTATGAGTTGGACATGACTGAGCGATTTCACTTTCACTTTCATGCATTGGAGGAGGAAATGGCAATCCACTCCAGTGTTCTTGCCTGGAGAATCCCAGGGAGTGGGGAGCCTGGTGGGCTGCCATCTATGGGGTCTCACAGAGTCAGACACAACTGAAGTGACTTAGCAGCAGCAGCATACAGTCAGCAAAAATAAGACCAGGAGCTAACTGTGGCTCAGATCATGATCTTCTTATTGTAAAATTCAGGTTTAAATTGAAGAAAGTAGGGAAAACCACTAGACCATTCAGGTATGACCTAAGTCATATCCCTTATGATTATACAGTGGAAGTAACAAATAGACTCAAGGGATTAGATCTGATAGACAGAGTGTCTGAAGAACTATGGATGGAGGTTCGTGACATTGTACAGGAGGCAGTGATCAAGACCACCCCCAAGAAAAAGAAATGTGAAAAGGCAAAATGGTTGTCTGAGGAGGCCTTACAAATAGCTGAGAAAATAAGAGAACTTAAAGGCAGAGGAGAAAAGAAAAGTTATATCCATCTGAATGCAGAGTGCCAGAAAATAGTGAGGAGAGATAAGAACACCTTCTTATGTGAACAGTGCAAAGTAATAGAGGAAAACAATAGAATGGGAAAGATTAGAAATCTCTTCAAGAAAATTGGAGATACCAAGGAAACATTTCATCCAAGGATGGCCAAAATAAAGGACAGAAATGGCAAAGATCTAACAGAAGCAGAAGAGACTAAGAATATGTACAAGAATACACAGAAGAACTATACAAAAAAGGTCTCAATGATCCAGATAAACATGATGGTGTGGTCACTCACCTAGATACTACAGACATCCTGGAGTGTGAAGTCCAGTGGGCCTTAGGAAGATTACTATGAACAAAGCTAGTGAAGGTGACAATTCCAGCTGAGTTAAAATCCTAAAAGATGATGCTGTTAAAGTGCTGCACTCAATATGTCAACAAATTTGGAAAACTCAGCAATGGCCACAGGACTGGAAAAGATCAGTTTTCATCCAATTCCAAAGAAAGGCAATGCCAAAGAATGTTAAAACTATTGTACAATTGTGCTCATTTCACATGCTAGCAAGATAATGCTCAAATTCTTCAAGTAAGGCTTTAGCAGTATGTGAACTGAGAACTTCCAGATGTGCAAGCTGAATTTAGAAAAGGCAGATGAACCAGTGATCAAACTGCCAACATCTGTTGGATCATAGAGAAATCAGGGGAATTCCAGAAAAACATCAAAAATCATCACTTCCGTTTGACTGACTACACTAAAGCCTTTGACTGTGTGGATCACAACAAACTGTGGAAAATTCTTCAAGAGATGGGAATACCAGACCACCTTACCTGTCTCCTGAGAAACCTGTATGCAGGTCAAGAAGCAACAGTTAGGATTGGACATGAAACAATGGATTGGTTCAAAATTGGAAAAGGAGATTGTCAAGGCTGTGTATTGTTACTCTGCCTATTTAACATATGTAGAGTACTGTGCCATGCTTAGTCATTCAGTTGGTCATTCAGTCATTCAGTCAGTCAGAGTCATCTGACTCTTCAAACCCATGGATTGTAGCCCACCAGGCTCGTCTGTCCTTGGGGATTCTCCAAGCAAGAATACTGGAGTGGGTTGTGATGCCCTCTTCCAGGGGATCTTCCCAACCCAGGGATTGAACCCAGATGTCCTGCATTGAAGGCGGATTCTTTACCATCTGAGCCATCAGGGAAGCCTGGTGCAGAGTACATCATACAAAATGCCAAGTTGGAATCAGAAGTTCTGGGGGAAATATCAACAACCTCAGATATGCAGATGATAGCACTCTAATAGCAGAAAGTGAAGAGGAACCAAAGAGCCCCTTGATGAGAATGAAAGAGGAGAGTGAGGAAGCTGGCTTAAAACAACATTCAAAAAACTAAGATCATGGCATTCAGTCCCATCACTTCATGGCAAACAGATGGGGGGAAAGTGGAAACAATGACATTTTATTTTCTTAGGCTCCAAAATCACAGCAGACAGATTGCAGCCATGAAATTAAAACCTGCTTGCTCCTTGGAAGGAAAGCTATGACAAACCTAGAGCGTATTAAAAAGCAGAGACTTTGTCGATGCTTTTGAATTGTGGTGCTGAAGACTCTTTAGAGTCCCTTGGAATGCAAGGAGATCAAATCAGTCAATCCTAAAGGAAATCAACCCTGAATATTCATTGGAAGGACTGATGCTGAAGCTCCAATACTTTGGCCACCTGATGCGAAGAGCCGACCCACTGGAAAAGACCCTGATGCTGGGAAAGATTGAGGGCAGGAGGAGGGGGCAACAGAGGATGAGATAGTTGTATGGCATCGTCAACACAATGGACATGAGTTTGAGCAAACTCTGATAGATAGTGAAGGACTGAGAGGCCTGGTGTGCTGCAGTCCATGGGGTCATAAAGAGTTGGATATGACTTAGTGACTGAACAACAAAAAAAGAGAAGAATGACTAAATTGTATAGTACTATCTCTCTCACTTACTTCTGGATAAGTACCCTGTGGAAATACTTAATCATGTAACGATATGCCAACAAACAAGGATGTCCATAGCAAACAGTAAAGACAAATGTTCTAACAAGGAGCCATGGGAAGTGTCAGTTAAGGAGCATCCTCCGATGGAAAGTTATGCCATTCATATAACCAAGGAAGTGGTGATTTACCAACATGGAATATTGTCCATAGTATATTGAATGAAATCAAGAACATATTTCCACTGCTTAGGAAAAGATTTGCTCTGCTGCAGGTGATTACCTCTTGAGGAGGAGAACTCTCCTTTTATCAAGTATTACTTGAAATTTGTGTTATAATTTTTTAAAGATTTAAGAGCAGTAAAAGTGAGGAATAAACTCTATAGCAACTTAGACTTTTCTATATCCAGTTAATTTAATAATAAACTCAAGGGACTTCCCTGGTAGTCCCATGGCTAAGATTCTGCCCTCCCAATGAAGGGGCCTGGGTTAAAAAAAAAAAAAATTGAAAATTTACTTATTTACTTATTATTGGCTGCTATGGGTCCTTGATGCTACTCACAGGCTTTCTCTAGCTTCACGGTGCGGTGGGGTTGGGGGTGGGGTGGGCTACTCTCTAGTTGTGGTGCTCTGCGGCATGTGGGATCTTACCAGGGATCGAACCCATGTCCCCTGCATTAGCAGGCAGATTCTTACCCACTGTGCCGCTAGAGAAGTCCCAAGGACAGGGAATTGAAAAAGATCATGATAGCTGTTTCCAAAGTATAGTCACTCAGTCGTGTCCGACTCTTTGAGACTCCATGGGCTGCAGCTATACTCTAATACAAAATAAAAAGTTTAAACAAAAAGGATCTTGAAAAGTGAAAACGTCTTCCTTTTACATTTCCTTTAATGTTATACAACACAAATAATACTTAGTAAACACAAATGGGGGGAGGGGAAATCCTTTGTTGTTAATATATTTTTACAAGCAAGCTTGTCCCAGACAGCCACTTGGACAATCCTCCTTTTCTCCACCCCATGTCAGTCACTTAGTTCCACCTGACTTAAGACACAGTGGATTGTAACTCAGTGTGCATCCTTATTATCTAAGCAAAAGGCAGCAGGTGAGGTGTGGTCTCTAGCCCCAAACTCCCATCCCAGAGCAGCTGATTCTCAAAATCCCATGGGAAGCCACCCACAGTGACAGGGCCCACACGTGGAACCTGGTCGCGCAGCCTGATTTGTGAGGCCCACGAGCTAAGAACCATTTAAAAATCTTTAAATGGTTACATGGTTATGTTAAGTACCTACACAGCATCTGTGATTTTATCCCCTGGAAACACAAAGCCTAAATTACTATCTGGTCCATTAAGAAAAGATCTTGTCAACTTTCTCTACTCCTTCCAAACCTCAGCTTCGGAGCAGAGTGGAAAGTTTGGGGCATGAACCCACTCAGCAAGGGCCCAGCGCCTGGCAGTCTGTGCCACCCTCGGTCTGGCCTTCGTGGGCCGTCACCTCCCCGGGGAGGCCCGGGCAGCCTCAGAGCCCCGCGTGGCTGGGGCGGCCTCGGCGGGGGCAGCCCCAGCGCTGGCGTAGGCAGAAGTGCCAGACCAGGGCGGAGCAGCTGAGCAGGGCCAGCGCCGAGCCCACGCCGACAGCCGCGTGCAGCACAGTGAGCGGCCGCGGAGGCACGGTCAGCCGGCCGCAGGGCCCTAAGTTGGGGCCGTCCGCGCCGTCGAGGCCCTCCGCCCCGGGCCCGGGCGCGCGGCTCTCTCCCGCGTCGTTGGCGGCCACCACGCAGACAACGTATGCGCCCCCGGGCTTCAGGCCCTTCAGCTCTGCTCGGCGGACCGTCGAGTTGAAGCTGGGCCCCTTCTGCGGAGCCCCACCGCCCTCCCACAGCAACAGCCAGTACTGGTGGACCGGGGAGGAGGGGGCGCACCAGTGCACCTCGGCGCGGCCAGTCTCGGCCTCCACGCGCACTTCCCCCAGGCGTGGCGGGTGCGGCGGCTGCAAGGCGCTGGAGAGGCCGGGGCACAGGCAGGCTCTCCGGCCGGCCCTCTGCAGGTCCTGGCAGGGCACCTGCAGGTGGCGGCAGTGGTCATAGTCACAGGGGACAGCCGGCAAAGGTGTCTCATCTGGCTCGTCTCCTTCCAAGTCTCCGGCCGCCAAGGGCTGCGTTCTGGGAACCAGGGAGAAGGTGACAGCAAGGAGCCACAGAAGGCAGGGAGCGTGCGGCATGGAATCTGGAAGGGAAGATGCAAGGGTAAAGGCTCTTCAGCCCCCAGACCCTGCCGGGCCCCCTCGTCCCTCAACAAAACCTGTAAGCAAAGGGAAACAGGACCGGGGACCAGGAGAACAAGAGGTGGGAATGACCCCGACACACCCATGTGTCCGTCCAGCTTCTGAACAGCGTATGTGATCCACCTGACTTAAGACACAGTGGATTGTAACTCAGTGTGCATCCTTACTATCTAAGCAAAAGGCAGCAGGTGAGGTGTGGTCTCTAGCCCCAAACTCCCATCCCAGAGCAGCTGATTCTCAAAATCCCATGGGAAGCCACCCACAGTGACAGGGCCCACACGTGGAACCTGGTCGCGCAGCCTGATTTGTGAGGCCCACGATATAAGAACCATTTAAAAATCTTTAAATGGTTACATGGTTATGTAAGTACCTACACAGCATCTGTGATTTTATCCCCTGGAAACACAAAGCCTAAATTACTATCTGGTCCATTAAGAAAAGATCTTGTCAACTTTCTCTACTCCTTCCAAACCTCAGCTTCGGAGCAGAGTGGAAAGTTTGGGGCATGAACCCACTCAGCAAGGGCCCAGCGCCTGGCAGTCTGTGCCACCCTCGGTCTGGCCTTTGTGGGCCGTCACCTCCCCGGGGAGGCCCGGGCAGCCTCAGAGCCCCGCGTGGCTGGGGCGGCCTCGGCGGGGGCAGCCCCAGCGCTGGCGTAGGCAGAAGTGCCAGACCAGGGCGGAGCAGCTGAGCAGGGCCAGCGCCGAGCCCACGCCGACAGCCGCGTGCAGCACAGTGAGCGGCCGCGGAGGCACGGTCAGCCGGCCGCAGGGCCCTAAGTTGGGGCCGTCCGCGCCGTCGAGGCCCTCCGCCCCGGGCCCGGGCGCGCGGCTCTCTCCCGCGTCGTTGGCGGCCACCACGCAGACAACGTATGCGCCCCCGGGCTTCAGGCCCTTCAGCTCTGCTCGGCGGACCGTCGAGTTGAAGCTGGGCCCCTTCTGCGGAGCCCCACCGCCCTCCCACAGCAACAGCCAGTACTGGTGGACCGGGGAGGAGGGGGCGCACCAGTGCACCTCGGCGCGGCCAGTCTCGGCCTCCACGCGCACTTCCCCCAGGCGTGGCGGGTGCGGCGGCTGCAAGGCGCTGGAGAGGCCGGGGCACAGGCAGGCTCTCCGGCCGGCCCTCTGCAGGTCCTGGCAGGGCACCTGCAGGTGGCGGCAGTGGTCATAGTCACAGGGGACAGCCGGCAAAGGTGTCTCATCTGGCTCGTCTCCTTCCAAGTCTCCGGCCGCCAAGGGCTGCGTTCTGGGAACCAGGGAGAAGGTGACAGCAAGGAGCCACAGAAGGCAGGGAGCGTGCGGCATGGAATCTGGAAGGGAAGATGCAAGGGTAAAGGCTCTTCAGCCCCCAGACCCTGCCGGGCCCCCTCGTCCCTCAACAAAACCTGTAAGCAAAGGGAAACAGGACCGGGGACCAGGAGAACAAGAGGTGGGAATGACCCCGACACACCCATGTGTCCGTCCAGCTTCTGAACAGCGTATGTGCTTGGTTTTGGGGAAAAAAATGAAATGTGGTCTGAGTTGACAGAGAGGGAGGTGCGATTGGCAACATGTGAAGCGCTGGAAATAGTTAATGAATAAACAGTGCTGGGGGGAGCTGGGGCGGAGAAGAGGAGGAAATGATTTACACCGCCTGGGTAAGGAAGGTGGAATGGTTACCAGCTGCCACCCAGAGCAATCAGATAGTCAGCGACACATGCAGAAAGCCAGAAAGGAGATGTTAGTTAGAACGGAGAAGAGAAGGGACACAGAGGCCCTGGAGCCCTCCGTCCCCACCTGTCGAAGGCCTGGTCCCTCCCTGCCCTCCACAGTTCTATCTCATAGGCACCCCCTTACCAGCAGGTAGGCCTTGATGCGGCGAGTAGCAGGCTGGGGCTCCTAAGAGGTCCCCAGGAACACAGGCTGTGCGGTCACGTTCTGTCAGTGTCTTCAATTTCAACTCTGTTTCGGCCCAAAGCTTTTATACCCCTCGACTGTGATGTCACCACCTGACCCCCCTTCCCCTGCTCCCCTCCCTGGTGAGTGCCAAGAAGAGGGCTGGTCCCTTCAGAAGGCCTGAGTCACGGGGCCAGGGTGGGGGAGCCACATGCAGCGGTTTCAGCTGGAGGTCGGGATGCCTGGGTTCTGAAAGAGCAGTGGAATGTGGAAAGCAGCCAGGGGCTGAGAATCCAAGGGCTGAAGTCATGTGAAGGGGTGAGGAGGGGAGTGAAAGGGACGGGGCCACCTGGCTGGTTATCAGAGAGGAAAACAGCTACGGACAGCATGGGGCCTGGGCCACAAAATGCTGTTTCGGTAAAAATCATACCACATCCACGGCAGTCATTTCCTGCCTTCTGCCTCCCCGCGGATTGAGAAAGGGAGGGGTTCAGAGGCCAGAATGATGTATCCCAGCTTTGCAGCCCCGCCCTATGCTATCCCCCTCCCCAGAGGGAGAGGACTGAGTGGGCAGGTTTTCATTCCCTGGACTTCCAGGCTGATGAATGGAAACAGCTGTGCCTAAAATAGTCCAGGGCCTGGAGGTCTTCTGGATCCACGGCCCCTGACAAGACCACCTCCTCCAGTCAGGGCGGGGAATGCCTGGGGAACACCAGGTTTTTAAATGACCCTGAATCCACTTCAGAGTCAGGGAGGCAGCTGGCACGAAAATAGTTTATTATTGGGGGAGCCCCGGAGAGAGAAAGGGAGCAGGTGGAAAAGGGCCAGCATGTGGGGACTCGGCCCTACTCGCTTCAGGAGCTGGAGCAGATGGGGCGCTGTCGGACGGAGCCCACAGAGGGCTCTGAGCTGCCCACAGTCTCGGGGGCAGGGGCAGAGCCAGAGGCAGCCAGGTTGGCCTCCGTCAGCAGAGCTGCATCTTCCCAGGAGCCTGAACCTGGGCCAGGGGAGAGAAAACGAAATCCGAAAGGGGAAATTTCAGGCCAGGGGCCCCCGCGCCCGCCCAGGGTAGCCTCCGCCCTGCCCACATGCCCCCCCAGGTCCCGCCGCACAGCATCCCTCACCATCACTGGCCTCAGGCTCCAGTTCCTCCTCCCCACTCAGGGGCTGTTGATCTGTTTTCTCCTCCTCGGACAGCTGGCCTTCTGCAGCCCCAGGGGGGAAGGCAGAGGTCAGTCTGGAGGAGGCTGAAGGGGAGGACCGAGGAATCAGGAAGGAGGTCGGGCGGCTGCGTACCTGTCCCAGAGGGATCCATGTGGCTCTCACCGTCCTCTGTAACAGGTGACAGCTGGGGGGACTCCTCCTGGCCTTGGGGCCCTGTGCCTCCAAAGGGGGTAGAAGACAGGACAGGACTAGGGTGGCTGTGCCTGGATGGCAGTGCCAATGTCACCCCGTCCCGCCTTTCTCTTGACCTTCAGCTTAGTAGGCAAGCACCTAAAAGCCTCATTCTGGATGGCACAGGAGCACCCCCCCGAGCCCCCAGCCATCACCTCTACCTGGCTGATGGGCAGAGATCTTTCGCTGGACTTCCTTGCGGGAGCGTTTTCGGTTTCGGATGTTTACCTGTGGAGGGGAAACTCCTGAGCAGCAAGGCCTGCCTTCACTCACCGGAGTGACTGAACCCTTCTGCCCCAGCCCCCAACACGCCCCAGCCCACTCCCCAAAGAAGAACCATGAAGGGGAGAGGAAGGGGTCCTTTGAGACCTGCAAAGAGAGGCGCTGCCGGGGCCAGACGCCCCCCCACACCCACTGCATGTAGCTGAAGAGCACAATGACGCTGAGGAAGGTGAAGTTGCTGGCGACACCTACGAAGGCGCAGGTCATCGGGAAGTTGTACAGCAGGTACCTGAAGCAGGGAGTAGCAGGAGGGGAGTACAGCTACCAGGGAGTGCCAGCCTTCTCATTTCCCAGAAGTCATTTCTAGGGCAGTTCACCAGAGCTTGGTGAGAGCTGGTCTCCACCCTCTGCCTCCCACCCACTGAGCCAGCGGTTCAAGAGAACAGTTCTCCACTCTGACTGCACATGACTTCCCCCTGGGGTGCTTTCAGAAAGGCTGATGGCTGGGGACTTCCCTGACTAAGGTCCAGTGGCTAAGACTCCACTCCCAAAGCAGGGGGCCTGGGTTTGATCCCTGGTCAGGGAACTAGATCCCACATGCTGCAACAGAAAGCTGGCACAGCCAAATAAATAAATATTAAAAAAAAAAAAAAGTCTGGCAGCCAGATAGGACCATAACAAATCCTAGCCCAGGCATCGGTATTTTTCTAAAAGTTCCTCAGGCTCCTGATATGTGATGTGCAGCCAGGGCTGAGAACCTGTGGCCCAGGTAAGGCCCGTCACCTCTGCTTAGGACCCTCTTCACTTAAGGACAGGCCCACGAGGGCTGCCCAGGCCACGTGGGCACTGCCTCACCTGAGCCCAGTGAAGTGGGCGTGGATGCGGAGGTAGGCTCCGTACATCTGGATGCGCTTGCTGTGGATCTCAATGATGGCTCCAGTGGTCGGCACATACTGCGGGCGGGAGGGCAGTGGCGGCAGCACATCAGGCCGGGATCCTGCTGTCACTCTTACTAGCCCAGTCTGAGGCCCGCTTCCAGCCTCCACCGCGGTCCCTCCTGACCGAGCCCGGAAGCTCCTCGGGTAAATTCTGGGCTTGTGGGGAGGGCTGTCTCCTGTCCTCCTCCTCTCCTCTCCTTACCGAGTTCTCTCTGTACTCTGGGTATAGCTCCACCTCCAAGAGCTGCTTCTGCTCCGCAAAGCCGAACAGCAGGAGGCTAGAGAAGACCAGTGTGTCGAGCATCTGGAGCAGGCTTGAGCGGTAATGTAGCATCACCTGCCAGGGCCAGGGAAGAGAGGCTGGGGACGGGTGCCGACCCTCAAAATCACCCCTGAACAGGGAGGAGAGGCTGGGCATGGGTGCCCACCCTCAAAATCACCCCTGAGCAGGGTATGAAGGCGGCTTCTTCCTTAGGTCCCCTACTCCCTTTCACTTCCTACCACGCCCCAAGTCCCGACCCCATCATTGCAAAAGTTTGAAGACATCCCTGCCCTGCCCTTCCCAACCACATGTCTCTATTCCAATACAACAAAGTCTCCTCTTCCAAGAAAGCCTCCCAGGTGAAGCCCCACACCATCTGTCATCTACGTTTCCCCAGCACGGTTCTATAATCTCGAACAG